GAACTTCATTAAAGGGCAGCTCACGGGAGCTTCTGCCTCTGAATGAAGCTGGAAAAGACGCTCCTCCCGACTCTTCGCCACCACGGGCCACCCTGGCTCCCTCCTACAAGGGAGGGAAGGGATCCTGCGCTTCTCTGGGAGTGGGGGACCCATTAAACTAAGGGGCAGAGGGCTGTCCAGGGAAAGGGCCACCAGTCAGTCACCCAGAGAGAAAGAGAGGAGAAGAACAAGGGCTTCTGGCCCAGCGGCCTGGGGAGCCGCCCTTTCTGGGCCAACGAGGGAGCCCGGGTGCCACAGGGTCGCCCAGCCTAGCCAGGAGAGCAAGGAAGGGGATTGGGAGAAGAGCCCCCTTGGCCCTGGAGAGAGAGGCCAGCCCCCACTTGTCCCCCGGGCTCCCCCAAACCTTTGAGAGTGACCCATTTTTGTGGCAACCATGGTTGGCAGAGCCCGACTGTCCTCCTGCTCGCCACCCGCTTGAGAGGTGCCAAAGAAGCAAGTATGAAGTCACAATGCAGCATCCCGGAAGCAGAAGGGCGGGGAGGGGGCTTCATCCTGCAGCCTCGGCAACAGGCCCCCTTTATTGCGGGGAGAAGGAGCCCCAGGCTGCCTCCATTGGCCCTTTCGCTGACCCACCATTTGGTTGTCGTTCGCTGAATCTATGATTGGATTGGCAGGTAGAGTCACGCGAGGAATTCACACCTGAGGTCTAATCGGCCACGGATGGCTCAGCACAACGTCTGGACCAGGGGCTTCCGCGGGGCCAGAAAGGTCAAGATGGTGGCTGTGACTGAAGCCGTGGCCCTCTTTAGGTAAACCTACGTGACTTTTGCTTACCTTCCTGACGTGAAGTCACCCCCCATCCCGGTTCCTGGCCTGAGTGCTGGGTCTCCATCTCTCCTGCTGATGTTGGATGGTCTGCCCACCCGGCTGGATCCCTCCAGTAGTCCTGCTTCCCACCCAGCTTCTTCAGCCTCTGCTTGGGGGGTTCCTGGGGGACGTGAGGGCAACAGCTCTCTGAACCTCGGGGGGAGATGACCGCCAAATAGGAAGGCACCATTAAGGCACCCTGAGTCTGCTGCTGCCACCGCCAGCGCCACTGACAGACCTCTTTGCCTCCTGTGTCTTTCACCCTCTCGTTCAAAGGGGCACAAGGCTCTGTGCACGCGGGCTTCATCCAGGTGGCATCCAGAACCAGAGCTGCTTGGCTGAGCTTCTGCTCGGGCAGGGAAGCAGCATGCTGCAGCCTTCCTTTGGGTTTCATGCCGCTGCCTCACCAACTCAGCCGCCGAGAAGCAGGAATCTTTTAAAGAGCCCAGTTTACGCCCCTGCACGTTGCTTTAAGATATATCAGCAATGGCAGGCTAGTTCTTTGCTGAACCCTCCCCATCACAGCATGGCTCCCTGGAAGCCCAAGGGTTAAGGTGCTCCCCCCCACACAGTGCACCCAGACCAGAGAGAAAAAGGGAAGCTGGGGGAAGTTGCCAGGGCTCGCTTCCTGCTCTTCGGGAAGGAGCAGACTTTGCGGCTCGAGAGCCAGCACACCAAACCCCGGCCGGCCAGAAGTGCCCCTCAGCCCAGCCTCCCCACTTGCTGAGGTTTGACAAATGGAAAAGTAAGGCAGAATGGAAAAACCAAACCGAAAACAAGGCTGTGCGTACCCTAGCATAGTACGTAGAACTTGAGTTGGGCTTCCTTTTTTCAGCACGAATGCCACCATTTCTCCCCCCCAACCAGTAGCAAGCTTGCCAAATGTCCCAGGGCAACCTCTCCTAACGTGTTGGAC